TCTCAAACCTGTGCCCGATAACGAGAGCTTTGAGAGTTCAAACAATCTCATGACGACCAAACGTTCGAGTTCATCCAATGCAGTACGATACTTGCCGAGTGTCGCTTCCTCCTTGAAACGTTTGTATTCGTCACCGCCAATCAACCATCTCTCATCGACAGATAAGAGTGTTTCGCAATGAGCAACAAGCCCCTCGGCATGCTGTAATTTGGCATATGAAGAATTAACTCGGATGCGAGCTTGCTTCAGGGCGTCATGCATCTGTTCCAAGCTGCCAATATGTACTCCATTAAGAGCGTTATTGCCAGATTCACGGGCGAGATCCCATTCAGCTCTATTAAAATTCATATCAGGGGATGGGTGGTAGTTAGTAGTCGATGGCACGATACCTTCTTTCAGCGAGTTCGTCTAGTACTTCAACGTAACGTATAGAGAGTCGATCTCGTGGAGCTGGCTGCTTCAGACCATCCAGATATATGCGTTCCTGATCAAAGAATCCAGGGAAGTCGTTGTTGCTAAGGCGTAGCTCGGCCTTGATAGTTTCTAGCTCGGCTGTCAGCAACCGAACAGATTTCAACGCTTCGCGATAATGAGTCCACAAATAATTACCTGACACTGCGGCATCAGTATTACAATTACAGCTTGATTTTTTGACTTACTAAGTGCAGCATACTTATTGGCATCCCAAAAAGCGAAATGTTCCTCGATGGCTTGGTGGCGATGAAAACGGTTAGCATGCCTTGTGCTACGCGCAAGCTCGTTAGATGCAGAGAAGATATGCTCACAACCCTCGCCCTCAGTATGGCCAGTTCCAGAGATATACATTGGGTGCCAGTCAAGCTGACACCTTCGATTGTGCGCATGGCCATGGAAGGCGCCAACCATCATCCGAAAGCCGAGATCGTGTGCACGAGGGCCCAACGTACTATTAGCTAACGTCTTCGAGAATGCGCAACCGATATCGTACGCGCAACCTCCATTTTTTCCATATACCGTAAGGAGTTTGTCGATGATCGCTATCGGATATTTCGCACTGCCAGAATACATTAGTAATATAAAAATTAGATCAAAATGCGGTCTTACAGTTCTCCGCTTCGGATCATATCACACGCGAGAAGCACAAAGCGATGGCGGCATGAAGCGATAAAAATACCTGACTCTTGGAATACGGCAAACATCTTCTTACGTGAGTCTGGGCCAGCGTTTCTCCATCGATTGACGCATGTGAATGCTCCCGGATGATCCGGGTCTGTAGGCTCATCCTCCCAGTCGTCATCATTCCTCAAGTCTGTCTAAAAGATAATGTTAGAACATAGTTGTATACATAGTAAACACTTGTCGGGATTTGACTTCATTCTCAAACTTGTCAACAGCGTCAGCATGAATCCAATAATCCGAACGAGCTGTGCGAGAATCAGATCGGGCGGTGGTACCATAGATGGACGAGTCCCATCGCTTCAGGCTATTGTTACCGTCAATTGATACCAGCCATTCAAAATCGAGGGCAGGTTCATCATCGAGCTTGTAAAAGCATGCAGGGCATGTGTTTAACATACGCCAGTTGACGGTATCCCGTTTGAGCGCCTGACGCAGACGCTGGTTGATGCGATGGAGGATTTCTAGAAAAACGTCATAGGCTGCCGAGAATTGCATTTTTAAGTATGGCCGATATGGAATCTACAAACTCAACGTAAATAAACGAACCTCAATGTGAGGAATGTACGTACATCGTGAAGGTAACATAAAGTCTTGCATTGTGATTGGATACTGAACCGGGGACACGTTCGGTGCGACTGACGGTAGGCAGCGAGTGTACGAAGCGAGATGGCAACAGAAGGATACATCGGGGCACACCCGATGTACCCATAGTAGATGAGGGTTTCATTCGGGTATTGATGAGACGGTAAAGGTCGTAGATGCGAGCGCCTTCGTGCTGCAAAGAAAAAATAAGTACAAGATATCAAGGAACGTTTCAGACTTACTGAATGTATCAATGAGTTCAATCTCATTAATTGAGAATGAAGCATCGACACCTGACAGGACCTGATCTGAAATATCAGGCATACCGTCCCCGGAATCTCGACTGCGATAGTTTAAGTAGGCGTCAACGAGACGATCTATCTGAAGGCCCCAATGAGCGGTTTGAGTGTCGATGCGTTCTCCCCGAATTCGTGGATCAATGTGATGACTACAATGGGTGTTAATATTTGAAGAGTTGTACACAGTGGTGAATACGTACTATCCAGTTAGATCCGCCAGTTGATGAGCAAGGTCTTCAAATGCCTCATGCTCCCCACCTGCGTGACTGAGGTCAAAGGCCTCTTCACCTGGAGGCACTGTATGGGTGAACACCTCCACGTCCATTCCAAAATCTGCCATCATATTTTCGACGCGGCTTCGGTCCTCTGATGACATTTCTAATACAACAATAAGCGTTAATGATAAAAAAAGAAAATAGTACATACCTTGTATAGCAGCCTGGCGGCTGGAATCTGCCTCTGCCATACGCTGGCTTTGTTTGCCGGCTGCCAGGACTTTGGAATAGCGATGACCCCCTCTAAAACCATGGGAAATGATGGATTTCGAGAGCCCTTTGACCCTCCCGACACCTGAGGCACGAGGCATTACTGGGTTGGGGCGACGAAGGCACGAGGGAGGCGGGAAACGGCAGATATGAAGGAGGGCAACGACGAAAGCACGAGGGAGTTGGGAAACGGCAGGTACGGATGACGACGACGACGAAGGTACGAAGGAGGTTGAGAAGGCACGAGGGAGGTGGGAAACGGCAGGAACGAAGGAGGTTGATGACGACGACGACAAAGGCGGAACAATGGGGGCATGATGGAGGCAGGGAACGGCAGGGACGATGAGCACAGTGATGAGGAGAGCTAGGAAGCGTGAGAAGGGCCCCTTGGTTCGAATTAGGAAGCGTAGTAGGCGTTGCCGAGCGTGCCGAATTAAAATAGGAATATGACGCAATTAAGGCGGGGCGGGATGCTTACCGAATATAGCCTATGCGCGCGCGCGCGCCCACCATAGTGAGGTGTACATAGTTTTTTTGAAGGTATTTTGAGGAGCTGGGGCACTATTTAACGCTGGTGTAGGGATTTGATGAAACCAAGCCTAATTATAGTTGGCGAGACACGTAACTGCCAAGTATAATAAGGCTTATTAATAGGGCAACCCAGGTGTCAAACCTCACCACCTCAACTGTCACACTGTCCGTATAACTTAGGTACATTTTACTTTACATCTGTCATAATAATTGATATTCTAACAGTGTTCCTTTTCATCCTGACAGAATTAGACGTCGTACACTGTAATTGTCCATAGGCAGTAATAAATTTATTCCCGCTACCTTTAGGTAGTGGGTTTTTAGGGTCAGGTTTTTTCGCGATTATACGCGGCATAGTGTTTTGGAAATTCATTGCTTCTAAAAGGCCATAAGTTCTCACGGTGGTTCGTGCACGCCTGATTAATGTCGTGGTTCAAACGTTCATACCCTCGTTTTCTTGATACTCATCTGCTATCGACGTATCGTTATGTCTCAAATCACTGATGTTGTAGTATCTTCTGATAATAACGGTTCAGTTCACGGTTCATCCATAAACGGTTGCGCGACTGGTTCAAAATCTCGTGATTGTGTGCAAGGAGAAGCTCTTATTCGTGATATGCTATTTTCAGCTTCTCCGACGCAGTCACTGTTTTCTGCTGATGCTACTCAATTAATTTCTTTGGTTCAGGATCATGGTCTTCAAATGCAATTGTCACCTGCTGAAACGAAACACCACCTTTTGCGACATCTGCTGTCTGGAGTTTGTATTCATGTGGGAGCCGGCCAAAGCGGTCCCAAGGCTTGCGGGCTTATTTCTCAAGGTTTTTCCGATGTTTCTTCTCTTCTGGGTTATGTCGTTCGAGAGGTCTCGATCTCTCTATCATCGACATTATCGGTGGCTTTTCTTGAAGACATTGTTCGTGCTGCTGGAGAAGAAAGCTCGCTCGTCCACGCGAATCGTGCCGACTTGATCCGTTTGCTGTCCCATCGGTGTGTCAAGTCTTCGGAAGACGACGTCGTATTGAACGAATTGTTTCTTGGTTTCGAAAATCTATCTCATTCTTCATTGCATGCATACGCTGTAATTCATGGTATTCAATTTCAATCGGCATGTTCCCGCGAAGCTTTGTTGCAGATGTTGATGCACCATTTGTCCGACGGCAGTTGTTTGCACGGCAAGGATCTCTTCCAAGGTTGTTCACGTGTATGTTCTGCTTGTCATTGTGATTCTTCTATGGATGCAGTAACTCTTCAGATTCAATTATTGGATGTCGTAGGTTCTCGGATGTCTGCAAGACCTCTTCGCCGTCTTTTTCGCATTCATAACATTCAGCATTCCACAGGTGATAATTTGCGTGTGCTGAGAAAGAAATTACGATCATTCCTTTCTATGTTAAAGAAGGGGAAACACGCTGAGTTGCAAAGTGCAGAACAAGATGCGCAATTTATCCTCGCAGAGCAGACCAAGGAGAAAGTTCGACAAGCGTGGCCACGTTTAGTGGATGACGGAATTAAGTACAAGGTGCGCTGTGCATTTCGTGAGCAAATATCGGTTGATTCTCTTGCGACTTTTACCTGCGCATGCTGTGCAGAGGCGTGTCCTGTACGCCAGCGTGAATTGGTTACACCTTCTGAACTAGATTGTGATATTCTTCGGCGTCCCGATCGACGTCTCCATGGCAAGGGTGGAAACTTGGATCCATGGTGGCTACGTTCTACATCTTTTCCTTCTGCCACGACACACGTTGATGATGCTTTGGTGGATGTTCTTATTGACGATCATGGCGTGCATCACGACGATGAACATCGCATTACTTTGGCTATATGTGTTTCGTGTCTTTCGTCGTTGCGGAAAGGCAAGCTTCCTTCCACTGCTCTAGCCAATCATCATTATCTTGGCCCTGTTCCAAATGTATTACGGGATCTCACAGTCATTGAAGAGGCCATGATTGCTCGTTGTCGCGCTAAATGCTGGGTGGTTCATTTGAAAGAAGAAAATCAGGGCCTCCAATTGCCATATTCTCAACGGGGATTCAAAGGTCATATTATTATTTATCCTCAGAATCCTTCTGCATTACTAGATGTTCTTCCTTGTACTCTTGATGACGTTTCCACACCAGTTTGTGTGATCTTTGTAGGATCGAAACCACCTTCAGCAGAGTGGTTACGTACCAAGGCCAGACCCTTGATAATCAGGCGTGAGCGTGTGCGTAATGCTTTACAATGGCTTGTGCAACATAATCCTTTGTATGCTGAAGTTGTCATTGATCATACGCTTCTCGACAGTTTACAAGAAGAACAGACATTGCCTGTGCATATTCAACATGTGTTGTCTGATCAATCTGATGATCTTCTCACTTCGAAATATGATGTGCCGTCTTTGGATTCTGAAGGCATGGTTGATCATTGCGATGCTACAGACATTCCTGTGCCATTTTCTAATGTGGTAGTTACAGATGTGGATGCACACGCCCCTGCTAATGAGTTACGAGCTGCTGCGTTATGACACGTGAAACAGCGTGGTGGAGGATACATCGAAGTTCCACATGGTCCTCAGCCTGTCAATGAGTTCTTCAATCCGCAGTTATTTCCAATGATTTATCCGATCTTGTTCCCTTATGGTCTGGGTGGCTTCGAGGATTCGATTCGCACCACAAGGATATCCATGAAAAAGCATGTCAAACACTTATTTTCTCTCACAGACAAACATTTTCAAGAGCATTATTCGTTCTTGTTCACCGTTTTCAATGTACTGCAACGACGAGAAATTCTTTTGCATTCAAGCCTGAAGGTTCGTCGTACGGATTTCTCGTCTGTTGCTCGAAATTTTGCAATGGTGTCTCCTGAAGCAGTCCATGTGGTGTCCGAGCGTGTAGCTCAGGGTGACAATCAAACAGCCTATTCTGATGAAGAGCGCAAGGTTCTCAGTCTTATGCAACAAGTGAAAGTTGTCTCGTCACATGTGCGAGGATCAGCTGCAGCTCGACTCCATATGCGGAATGAGATACGAGGTATGATGATGGCTCATGGTCTGCCTAGTTTCTATATTACCATAAATCCTGCAGATGTTTACAGTCCTGTGGTGAAATTCCTTTCCGGTGTTGATATCGACATTGATAACCTTTTACATGCTGACGTGCCCAATTTTTTTGAGCAATCCATCCAAGTCGCAAGGAATCCGGCTTTGGGAGCGAAGTTTTTCAACATCTATATGAAAGCGTTTATTTCATGTGTGTTAGGCTTTGATCCCTCAGGTTGTGATGTTGAGGGTGGAATATTGGGTTTAGTCAAAGGTTATTATGGGTGCGTTGAAGCGCAGGGTCGTGGCACTTTACATTGTCATATGTTAGTGTGGTTGGAGGGAGCTTTGGATCCGAATGAGATCCATGACCGAGTTATGAAAGACAAAGATACGGATTTTCAACATCGCTTGCTCGCATTCTTGGATGATAGCATATCTAATTCATTGCCTGACGATCCAGATCCTTGTTGTGCGGTTCCCTCTGCATCTCATCATCCATGCTCTGTCATAGGAGTTTCTCAATCTGCTTGGGGCGACAGATATCATATGGCAAGACAAAAGGACTTGTACCATCTTACTCGAGCATGTCAGGTGCATAGGCATTCAGCTACTTGTTTCAAGTACTGGAAAGGACCTCCCCAGCCGAAAGAGTGTAGATTTGGTCTGGACGAAAAGAAATATTGTCCTTCTAGTTCTTTTGATATGGATAGTGGCGAAATCTCTCTTCGATGTTTAGATGGTATGGTGAATAATTTCAACGAAACAATGTTAGAGCTCATTCGATGTAATATGGATATCAAGTTCATTGGATCAGGCGCAAGTGCAAAGGCTATTTTGTACTATATTACAGATTACATCACGAAATCTCAGTTGAAAGCGCATGTCGCATATGCCGCTTTGGATCTTGCAGTCCATAAATTAGGAGAATATCATCCAGAGGATGGAGATTCGACACTTCGTGCCAAGCGCTTGCTTCAAAAATGTGCATATTCGATGATATCTCATCAGGAATTGTCTGGTCCGCAGGTATGCTCCTATCTGTTAGAACTCGAAGATCACTTCACTAGTCATTCGTTCAATAATCTGTATTGGACCTCTTTCGAAAGATATATCGATGCCGAGAGTCCGAGTCCTGAATGCAATGCAAAGTGTGTTGGAGGGAATTCTATCAATGAATTCAGCATGCTTGAAGCCGAACCAAACGATGGTGACAGTAATTCGCAAGACATATGTCATGAAGACGACCAAACTGATCAAGATGCTAATGAAGAAGTACACGAGTTTCCACACGACGATGATGACATCGAGGATGACATTGACGAAGAAGTCGGTGTGTCCGTCAATCATGTAGGAGAATTGAGTGCCAAACCTTCTCAGCTTCTGGATTACAGATTGCGTGGTCCGCAGCTCTGTTTGCTTTCTCTATGGGACTTCATAGCTCAAACAGAGAAGGTGCCACTGTCTAAGAAACATCGTAATGAAGATGATGATGACAATGACAGCCATCCTCTTCATGACAATGAGTCCATTTTTGGGATGGAAGAATTACGACTCTTACTTCATGATCAATCACGCGAACGTCCGTGTGTATCACTCCATGAAGCTCATCCTCAAAAACGATCACATGTCACTCGCATCCGATTGATGCAAAATCGTTTGGTCCCAGTGCCTATTGGTGCTGGAATTCCTCGTCGAGACAGAGCCGCTGTCTATCCGTGCTATTGTAGATTGATGTTAATTTTATTCAAGCCTTGGCGAACTGTGACGGACTTACGAAGAGAAGGCCAATCTTGGGTATCTGCGTTCACAATGTTTTTGAGTGCGTCCGATATTAGTTTGAAGAGTGTGATGGATAACATGCAAATTTTGCATGAGTGCCGGGATAGCCGAGACGATCACTTTGCAGAAAGATTGCGATCTTTGCGGACAAAGTCCAATGTGGATCGTTCTCACACATCTGGGACACGATACAGCGAAGAAGATTGTTATATTCAAGATACAGACGTACTAGAGCATTTGCAAGCAATTGATTCATGTCATTCAGTCCATCGAGCACGTTCGAATGACACTTTGATGAATTGTCTATATCATGCAGAGCGTTCTGGTATGTGGCAGATGGGCTTTTGCCACGCCGTTTCTAATGAAAATAGTGACGAATCTGGCGATGCCACAGAGTGTGTGATGGCGGATGATAGATCATTGGAAGATGCGTGGGAGGCGGAATACAATAACCGTCGAGATGCATGGAAAAACAAGATATCTGTCAGTAATGATCAGACTAGTCCTGTAAATGATTTGAACAACCAGGTGCGAACTGATACAAATGTTATGCACAGTGCCATTCGAGATGGAAATGCATTCAGGAATGCTGAAGAGCAGCAAGATCTCAATGGTGATTGCAGCAACGGCGTTCGAAATCGTCGGAGTGAAACAGATATAGAGGATGACAGCTCGAGTATTGATGGCATGATCCATGAATTTTCTCTCAATCTCGAGCAGGCGCGTGCGTTTCGTATTGTCGCTGAACATAGCATAAATCGTTCACCTGAACAGTTGCGCATGTACATTGGTGGTTGTGGAGGGACGGGAAAGTCGCAAGTTATCAACGTTCTCAAAGAGTTCTTTCGTCGTCGCAATGAAGAGCGGAGATTTCGGCTGACTTCATACACAGGAGTAGCCGCTGAGAAATATCTGTGGCATGACCTTACATTCAGCACTTAGACTTGGACAACGCAGCACGCAAAAGAACGCACGATGCAAAACAAATAGAGATCTAGTCGCTATGTGGGAAGGAGTAGATTATTTATTTGTAGACGAAGTATCTATGATCGGCTGTAATTTCATGCTGCAGATTAGTGAAGCGTTGATAGAAGCCAAAGGAAACACATCACCTTTCGGAGGGCTAAATATCATATTTGCTGGAGATTTCAACCAATTACCTCCTGTTGGACAACCTCGGTTGTATGGGCATATAAACATACATCGAGTAGCTACTAAACAAGGTCAAAATACAATTCTTGGGAAGTTGCTATGGTTATCAGTCACAACTGTAGTCATTCTCACGGAGGTCATGCGTCAGCGAGGAGCAGAGAATGAAACCTTTGTCAGTCTTCTGTCGAGATTACGAGTGGGGAAGTGTACTGAGGATGATTATAACCTGTTGCAGTCTCGTTTGATCTCTAATGTACGTCCGGATTGGAATATACAATGGCGCGATGCTCCAATGATTGTCAGCAACAATGATGTGAAAGATGCTTTCAATACACACGCAGTTTTATCATTTGCCCGACGAACGAACCGTGCTTTACATTGGTACCATTGTACTGATTATCAGGGCGGTAGAGAGATTATCGACGAAGATTTGAAAGCTCACTTGCAGGATTTGCACACTGGAAGTACAAGTCAACGGTTAGGCAAGATTCCTCTTGTCATTGGCATGCCAGTTATCATCTCACACAATTTTGATGTCGATGGTGGTATTGTGAATGGTTGTCAGGGCATTCTTAAAAGCATTCGGTACACTCTTGACTTGCAAGGTAATCGACATGCCATATCATGTGTCGTCCATTCTACTTCGACTACCGACAACGTATTGCCTCATTTACCACCGAATTATGTCGTGGCTTTGCAAGACACTGTAGAAATGGATTTCACACATCCTTATTCACAGAAACGATGTAAGATCACTCGTTCTCAGATACCTGTTTTACCTGCATTTGCAATGACGACCCATAAAGCACAAGGGAAGACCCTCGCCCAGGCTATTGTGGATATCGAAAGTTGTAAAGGCACTGAGGCCCCATATGTCATGCTCTCTCGGGTCACTTCGCTGTCATCCCTTCTAATCCTCCGACCGTTCTCGATCAAAAGGATCCGAAGTCGCCTGTCTGAAGATGCTCGAAAGGAAGAATATCGTCTAAATATTATTCGATGGCAAACCATATTTCGATATGGCTTGCCAGCAGAACAAGATGATGCTCGACGTCGACTTGTATTCCATGTGAAAACTATAGTGTCTGTCAATTCGCAAACCATTCAAACCAACGACCATCTAGAACGTAATCGCCAACTCCACTTACTGCAAGAGCAAGCAAATTCGTGGGAGCCTTCTACTACCGTAATGTATTTCTATTTCTGTTCCGTTCTGACTCTGCTAATTCTTCCCTACGACGGTAATGAATAGCATCGTTCTAGAGAGCATTTGAGATCACCGTCATTGATGCGCCATCATTCATTGACCCGGAATCCTTCATCGACATGTACAGAATATGTATCCAGCATGAAATCTATGCACAAAGGTGTTTTCCAATCTGAAAATGACGTCCAGCATATTCATTTTGTTTCAACAGACGATGAAACTGTTCATATGTCACATAAACGACGCCGATTGCATAATTCAAATTCTTAGTCAACGGGTTAGTAGATAGTTCCTCCGGAACGTCCAAGCGACTGAGATGAATAGGTTTCTACAACGCACGTTACTTGGATCGCTTATGAAGCGTTTCAATGCTGCTGATGCAAATTCATGGTCTGTTAATTCAGCGTGGATATATTTCAAGTACGTGAATGATTGTAAGATTACATGCTGAATAACATGATGATACATACAGTTTATTTTGTGGACGAATCCTACCAGAGGCTCTTACATGTATATGGACGAGCTTGGTATATCTTTGCATCACAACTCAAGCAGACAGCTCGCTGGTGAAGATGTACATTAAATATGTGCGTATGAGACTTGTGAGTTTAGATTCTTTATCCATATTAAGCATGACTTACAATACAATTCAGTCAACAAGTGTGTCACGGAGATTCAGTGATAGTGAAAGGTTGAATGAGATGAGTGTGATGACGAGATTTGGAATCGAAGTCGAGTTAAGGTCCGCTCGTCTCATATCGCAACACGTTCCTCATCAATCATCATTGCTGCCATCAGAAGATGCCGACCCTGACGGTCCCGGTAGTACCGCCAAATATGGCACTTTTACATCCAGAAGCGGTCCTACAACGCGCCGCGCGTCCCCAGTTCCAGGTGTACGAGAGCCAAATAAGGTCAGCAGGGCTGTCAATCTAGTGTAACGCAACCTAACGTTTTCACAGACAACACCACGCGAAGTAGCTGTCGATCCCTCTTGGCGCGAACTCTTTTCTCGTCTATTTCGCATCGCGCTTCATCTCTGGCCTTCCCGTTATCCAAAGCTGCAATTTATCGCAGTACGTATCTCCTTTGCATTTTCATCAACCAAACTGATAGTTCTGCAGTTCACTTGTTTCTTCATCTTTGTTCTAGGACGTGTAGTCAACAGCATTTCTTCTTTTCAGTACTTTCCGCACTCATCACCACATTCGACACACCAGGCGTAGCTCCATTCCCTGCATTTGGTTCAAGCCCATGGCCGTACCTAATCACCTATGTCATGCTCCGTTTCCTTGCTTCCTCAGGCGGTCTCGCAGCTTTCCGCGATGCATTCTGGATTCCACTCATGCAATACAGCGACCGCAGCATGTTGATGCTCTCATTCAACCATGTCCTGGCTCTTTCTCTCAGTTGGCACACGAAACGCAAGATTGGTGAGCTGCTCTGTATTCTTGATAGAGGAAGCGCAATAAACCGCCTTGGCGAGCTTATTGGGTTCACAGTGGTTCCTGCACTCGTGGATATATGTGTTGCGCTCGTTGTGTTTGTCGTCAAGTTCGAACCTGCGTTGGGCGCTGTGGTTGGAGTCGTGATGGGGAGTCATATCTGGGCGAGTGTCGTGCTTACGAGGTATAGGACTAGCATATGGAGACTGATGAATGAGCGGGATGTGGTAAGTGTTTACTGCTATTCGTTCTCTATGGAGAGGGTCCTGATTCTATGCCTGCTCAGAACATGCGTGGGATTCATACGGATTGTCTCCTCAATTACGAGACTGTCAAGTATTTCGGTGGGGAGGAGTATGAGGCGCAGAGATATACGGAGGCTATCGAGGAGTATCAGAGTTTGGAGAAGAGGGTTGTCCGTGAGTGTTTTTGCCTCATCTCATTTTAAAAACCGCGTCTCGCTTCCAAGTTGTTTCTCATTTTCCAACCAAACCTGTGTTTCATTCCAATGGCGAACGCAAATGCTGATTACACATGTAGTATCTCTCAACCTGCTGAACCTCGTGCAAACACTCATCATCACCTCTGGTCTTCTGGTCGGTTCCTTGATCGTCGCGTCGCGCATCACAAGGGGACAGAGTAATACTAGTGATTTTGTGGTGTTCATCACTTATTATGCGCAGGTGGGTACCTTATCTCTTTCGTGTCGTATCAAGCTGACGTCTTCTAGTTACAACCATGCCGATGCCATCCACATCAGCTCTATTTCTCTCTGTCGAACCTCGGCGGCGTATACCGCGTAATCAACCAAAGCCTCATCGATACCGAGAAATTGCTTCACCTTCTCAATGAGCCCACTGAAGTGGTCTCTAGAGGTTTCTCTTTTCTCTCCTATTCTCGTTCGATCATCTTCGATACTCTGGACTTATTCTTATTTCCTATTATATACACTCACCGTTAGACTTTGAGATTGTTCCCAACATTTGGGATTTTAGGAAAAATAGTGACGTAATCTCTGCATTTGCCCTAAAGTGAACATGAAAAAGTTTGATCTTGCCATATGTTCGCTTGCTTCCCACTCATCTGCTACCAGCAAATTTTACGTCTCCAACAGATTGGGGAGCTCGAAGACATTGCGATACGAACCAGAACCCTACCAGAGTCAGGCGTACATCGACGATCATGCGCACTCATTTGGTATCGAGGCCAGATAGGAAACACAGGCCTAACGTTCCAATGATTAATCCTGACTGGTTAGTATTTTCGTCAGAGCCTTGTTTTCTTGAATGGTTTGCAATTGGCTGATGTTGATACAGAATCTGATGAGAATATTGGTTTAGGTCATGGTTCATCGATTACTGGTTGCATGACGGTTTCGGAATCTGATGATCATGTCAAGCGAGAAGGTCTGTGACATGCCTCAAAATAGTCCATGCTGTAGTGTAAGGAAATTCACTCCCTCACGCAATTCATATCACTTGGATTCATTTGTATTCCCAAAAACAAGTCGCAGATGACATTGAATAGACTATTACAAGACAGTGAGAATGATTGAAAAACTACTAGACTTTTCATTATAATTATCAAAGCTCTTCCTAAATAACATCCTCATCGAATTCTGAATTTAATTTCCATCAAAAGTTAGGCGATGTTCTGAGAATGTTGTTGAATAGATTGCCGGCTTCATCCGCTCTAAAAAGAATCCAAACAAATGTGAGATTATTCGGAAACATAGAGAATATCATACTTTATTAATAGTTCAGAAACACGTTTGAGGTCTCTGCGTTGCATGTCCTTGGGTTCAAAAGTAGAAGAAACGGCATGTTTGATGACCAGGATGTTGCTACGAGGGGGCGTCATTGGCAAATATTGATAGCCTTGTGAATTGACTATTGGTCCATTCAAGAGCATGCTTGGGAGATTATTGAAAACCTCGTGATGATCGCGAATGACAGTGTAAGCATATATGCCAGAGATAAATGTTTGGCGAGTGGAACTACCATCGATCATATAATCGACTTCAATCCCATTTTCCCGGACATAGTGTCTCAAATTGAGATCATCAATGGACCTCAAACGAGTTCTTCCTTTGTCTAGGAAGATAGGCACTATGATTGGTCGGTCTGTTGCCTGCGCAAACAATATACCCCACACACTGAATGTTTTCGGCTAACATCGTGACATTAGTTTGAAATGCAGATACCAAATTAGATCCACAAACATTGTTTTGACGAGCTTGTTCAACAACGAGCATGACATCTTCGTTGGACGTTGGAACTCCAGAAGGATTCCCAAATGGCATCGAGTTCTGGATACAGTTTGAATTGTAACATTTCCGAGATAATCGCCAAAAGTAACTTTGGTTATTGAGCATAGCGAAAGGCGAGATTCCGTCCCCCCTAGTGATGCCGCAGTCCGGTTCTGAACTTCGGTTCGGACCTGAACCCTCCCGGACCGGACCGTGGGTTCGGTCCTGGGTTCGAAATAGTATAAGGACCGAACTGATTATTAAGTTCAGCGTTCGGCTGCTGCCTGAATACTGTGAACCCGTTCGAACCCGTTCGAACCCGTCTGAACGTGTTCTCATATTCTTTGCATGATCCACCAATATATCTGCTCTGATCTTCTGGCAACCGGCATGTCGATCGATCTCGGGACAATCAATAGCGGATCGGACTTCGCAGCCAAAACACCCAACATTTCCATTGGCGAGATCTGACTTCCCTGGTAATCTACTCGATGTTCTGGTAAGCCTAATGTTAAACAAATGTTAATCTTTATTCAGACTTCAATGGTCTTTATTTTCAGAACATATTCTCAGGTTTCTCGTTCTGGTACTTCAAGCTTCAACACCAAGTAATTGCATGGCAACAGGATGTTCAAGGTGCGTCATTTTTTTGATCTCTTATCATAAAATTTGGAATAAATGAGCTACTTACTACAGGTTCAATCCACCCTCCTTGCTGCACAAATGTCGTGCGCACTTGGATCTGACGGCCAACTCAAGGATGCTAGTGCCATCGATTGGTACAATGATCCTGACGATGACACGCCCATGCTTCCTCCACCTCCACCTCCTGCATCCAATGGCAAGCTAACTGCCTTTGTGCTCGCTCAGGCCGAGCTGTTAAACCGACAGAAAAAATCCGCGATGCTGGCAACACGACTCCAGCCAAATGAGTGGCTCCAGCACCTCCCCAAGGACAGCCTGCCCCAAGCGAGTGCAACGTGGGTCCCGTCTGGTCCGTCACCATGATGACGATGACGACGAACCTCCTGCACTAGAGGATTGTTCAGATGATGAAGAAGAGGCCGAAGACAATGACGGGGAGGAAGCTTACGAGCGGACCAAGGTATTTGGAGACAAGGACCGTGAGGATCGCAAGCATAAGAAGAAAGAGGAGCGCAGGGGATTTGAAGGTAGTATTTACTCAGGAGAAGGGACGATCAATCGCACACCCAAGAACCCGAAGATGGCTGGTGGTGCGAGATATGCAGGTATGTTTTTACTTTTACTTTGAACGTCACAACACATAACATTGTCAATTCAAGAGCCAATGATGTACCCACCAATCAGTGCTTTTCAAAGGCAGTGTTTCGACTCGCCGCACCCATATCGCTCGAAATGCGAAGTGTCACTTTCCAATATACCGCGACCGCTGCAAAGAACGAGGTATCAAGATGCATGATCGGGCGATACCTCCTAACTGCAAAGCAACCGACGACTTGCAGAAAACGTTAGATGCCTCCCTCACGCCTAAAATTCCTGAATTCACCAAGACCGGTCTAATGGATTACATTGTTGAGCTTATCGTGTCTGAGGACGAGGTGAGTGTTTTTTTTTGTAATCGTGACTTAGGATGTTCATGCCATAGATAGGCATTCCAACTCGTTGACAAGGGACCCTTTCGCCGGCTCCTTCAATACTCCGGCCTTCCCTTTCAGACAGGGATATTCCTCACCACACCAAAACTCGAGATGAAATTCTTGAACGGGCGCAGCTTGCCGTTCAACGTGTCAAGGAGAAACTTAAGCAAGTTGATAGCAAGATTTCGATCACGTTCGACTCATGGACCTCTGAACTGGGGTACCTTTTCTCTCCGTCACCCCGCGCATATATGACTCCC